GTCACGGTACGGACTTGTACTAATCTTGTAGACCTGGTCAATCATAATCACGTGCCTTGGGAATTTCTTGCTTATCCATAATAGTCGCCGATCTGCACTGCCCCAAGGTCGAGCATAGGGAACCCTCAGGGTCGAACCTCGAGTCGTGCCCCGGGCCTTATGAAGACGGGCTATGGAATGTCATAATGATCATAAAATCGGACTCTCCAATTTTAGTTGTATGCAGGTGTCAAGGAAGGAGATCCTTTATCTCCTACTTTATTCATTTTGGCAGCAGAGGTTCTTGGGAGAGCATTGGATGCATTATTTGATAATCCAGATTTCATAGGCTTTGGCATGCCAAAGTGGAGCCATAGCATCAACTACTTATCCTATGCAGATGACACAATCATATTCTATTCTTCTCACTATGGAGCAGTCCAGGTTGTCATGAATGTTTTGGAAGATTATGAGGCAGTCTATGGGCAGAAAATAAACAAAGAAAAATCTTTCTTTTATATGCATGAAGGAGCACCAGCAGATGAAATGAATATTGTACATTTGATCACTGAATTCCAAAGACATTCCTTCCCATTTACTTACTTAGGATGTCCAATTTTCGATAGCAAAAGGAGGAAGGAGTTCTACAATAACATTCTATTCGAAGTACATGAGAGATTAACATCATGGAAGGGCAAGTTACTTTCAATTGGTGGTAGGGCGGTATTAATTGTACATGTGTTAGAGAGCATGCCAATTCACCTTCTTTCAGCAGTGAACCCTCCAGTATATGTGATCAAACAATTACACAAGATGTTTGCTATATTTTTTGGAGCAATTCAGGTAATGGAAGGGCAAGACACTGGGCTTCTTGGGATACTTTGTGTCTGCCTAAAAATGAAGGAGGACTTGGTTTTAGATCAATGTATGATGTGTCCAAGGCTTTGTTTGCAAAACTGTGGTGGAACTATAGAACTAAGGACTCTTTATGGAGTGCTTTCATGAGGAATAAATATTATAAGAAGATAAATGAAGTGGAAGTACCATGGATATAGGGTTCTCAAGTGTGGAGAAAGATGCTCTAAATGAGGGATGAGGTGGAACATCAAATTTGGTGGTAATTGAAGAGTGGGAATTTCTGGTTTTGGTTTGATAATTGGACTGGTTTGGGAGCTATCTATCATGCAACAGGTCCAGAGCATTAGTGTGATGAATCTTATAAGTATGTTTATGAGGTGATAGAAAATGGTGCATGGAATAAAGGTCTTTTGAGAGAATTACTGCCTGAGGAGTTAGTCGATCACATCAAGGATACAATCTAACCATCTTCAGATTCCTCAGTAAAGGATAAACCATGGTGGAAGCTAGAAACAAAATGGAAATTCTCAGTGAAGTTAGCTTGACAACTCATAAGGAAGAGAAGGGCGGAAATCAAATTATATAAATTTTTTGGGTGAAGGGTGTGCCTTTCAAGATTAGTTTTTTCATGTGGAGACTCTGGAAGGCAAAACTACCTTTAGATGATTGGTTCTTAAGGTTGGGATACTTTAGAACATCAAGATGTTGGTGTTTTAGGCATCCTAAAGAAGAAACAATGTCCCATGTTTTCTTGACATCTCCAGCAGCCAAATTTATATGGAACTACTTTGGTGCTCCAATAGGGATCAGAACTGAAGGGAAGCAACTAGTTCAAGTAATAAATAAGTAGTGGGTTAAATCAGGAAACTCTAGTATGAAGGCAGTTTACCAAACAATGCCATCCATAATAGTGTGGCATTGTGGAAGAAAAGGAATTCTGGCAAATATGGGAAGATTGTATCTTTTAACAGGTTGATATTCCAAATTTCAACTACAATTCATATGTTTTTGAAGGTAAGAAGACTAGGGTTCAAAGAAGTTACTGCCAATTGGTCAAACTTATATGAGAAATTGCTAAATCATCTCCCTATATTGAATATACTAAGGTACTATGGAAGCTACCTCCAGATGGTTGGATAAAATATAATAATGATGGTGCTTGTAGAGGAGACAATAGGGGGAGCTTCCTATGGTTTTTGCATTAGGGATGGTATTGGAGACCTTATATATGCCCAGGTAGATGTTGTGGAGGAGGCAACAAATAACATTGTTGAAGCGCATGCCATTTTGGAAGCAGTCAGGTACATACTTCAAATGCAATTTCCTCCTTGTATAATTGAGACTGACTCATTATTGATGAAGAAAGTGTTAGATGAGGTATGGAAACCACCTTGGAACATTTCTAATCAGGTGGATGAAATCAAAGATCTTATGTCTAAAGGTGTTTTCCAGATTGTGCATGTGCTGAAGGAAGGAAAACCCATGACCAATATGAGCTCGAAGCTTCCTTCATGACTCCCGAAACTTTTTAATAGTGTCTTCCTTACATGCCCCATTTCAGAGAGAACCTCAAAGTGTCTCTATTTCATTATATTACATTCATATCCCAATTCCATTTATTTAATATACATGTGGTGTCATTGACATAACAAATGTTTTCGGAATGGGGGAAACTAGGTGAGGGTGAACCTTCTGTCTAATTCAATCTGATGCTTTCAAATCCGCTTAAAGAGTACTTTGGTGTCACTTAGTATAGGGAAGTGTCCCTTTTTGTTGTCTTCGTTTATCTTTTTTTCTCCCATGCTTTTGGTTGGTTGTTAAGTTAGCAGATCACTTAACTAACTTGACATTGGATCACGAATATATGATTCAGGTGCAATCATTCTGGGAATTGGAATCAGAAGGTAGGAAAATATTAAACAATGACAAGCTTCAAATACATTATGTTAAGGTAAGGACTGCTAAGCCAAATTTTAATTGATATGAATAGAGCAATCATGAAGTGTGAGTGTATGATTTGTGAAGGTAGCAATGAACTAAGAAGGAAGGAGGAAAGGACTAGTAGGGTATGGGAGACATCACTGGATCATCATATTCAAATCCTTTGGGAAGAGAATATGATGATCATTTTTTCTATTAACCTTGTGTTCTTTTTTGCAGGAGACGGTATTGTACTCATGCCTTGCCATTTATTACGACTTCTATGGGTAGTATTAGCACTATGTGCTCATTCCCTTGAAGGAGGAAAGATGGGATGCAAAATCATGGAATTAAGGAGGTAAATGAACATTCATAACATGAAACAAGCCTGGCTATGTGACCTAATGTCCTAGGCATTGGTCTTTGTGGTGCAACAACAAACGTGAGCTACATCAGCAGGCTTAGCGAGCTCCCCACCACACTATAGACCTAGCCCAGCTCGACCAGTAGCGAGATCAACACCCATGCGACACCAAGGATTTTGCCAGCTCTATCTCGCTAGAGACCTGGCGACGCACAATGATTTCCATTGTTGTAGACCACGCCCAGCTGGATCAACATCGAGATTATTAACCAGTCGATGCAAGGAAGATGTCATATCCTTCTCGCTGGGACCTGGCGATGCATAGTCTCCTTCTCGTGAGGAACCTAGCGACGCACAGTCTTTGGCACACATTTTACCGCGCTAGGCAATGATGGGCAGCATGCTTTTTTATGGCTACTTTGGCAACATTTTTCGGGCACTTTGGAAACACAATGGGTTAAAACCTTGATGCAACAAGGTAATTGGACAATTTAGGTAGGGATTCATGTAATGGAATCAAGTGATAATCAAGGGAGGCCATGCGAAAATGAGATTAAAAATAGTGCCCTCGTACTTCTTAGGACAGTGCAATTGCTTAGCATTTTGCGAACCTCTTGTAATTCTTATATATGCATGAACTGCTGGAACATCTTCATATGGAGCTGGAATGGAAGCACAATGCAAATGATGATACAATATCAAAAGAGGGTAACTCAAACTACCATATTCTGGGCAGTGGCTACTATTGAACAAAATCGATTTGGTTATACGTGCAAACGAGGTGGCTACGTGTGCAAGAAGCGGAAATGGGTAGAGATCATCATTGTTAGAGGCTATTTGTGCAAGAAGCAGAATATTCACCTGGACACTAAATGCAATGAGCTTCAAGGGCTAGTTTTAAGTTATAAATACTACATTAGACTTCATGTGCTATCATTGTTGAGTATCTCACTCAACTTTGATAATAGATTATATGTAGGTTGCAAATTTTNTATATATAAACAACTAGCCCTAGGCACTGCCTAGTGGATTGCTTTAAAAAAAGAACAAAAGATAATGTATACTTAGTAATTATCAAGTCTAACTCCAACGAAATAATGGCGAGGTTTTGACATAAGATACTCACTTTTTATAACCTGCTCAATTCATAAGCATGTACAGGAAATAGAGAAACAACTTAGCAATAACTAATATAAATAATAAGGTGTACAGTCAAGGAAGCAGATACTAAATGTGCCTTTTAGATAAAATGATCAAAATCATAATCAAAACATCGAATCTATACGTAAAGATGATATGCAACGGTATGTATGTGAATAAATATTTCTACATGAGTCTAGAATATTAATGCATGATAAAAAGTCAAACTTTACCTTAATTTGATGCCTCCCTAGTAACCCACACCTCCTCAATGTCCAATAACACTACGCACACACGGTTCAAGGTAAAATGGGTGATCACATACACTGGAGGGATGGATCCAAATTCATGCGCCCGAGCATTATAGCTCCGTAATTAATCATCAATCTCATGAATGAACCATCGTATCATAATCATAACTACAAAATGTTCCGTCGTGCCCACCTCAGTCCATATCAGAGAACCATAATGTAGGGTTGTATGCATATAAACAAGAGATAAGCATGTATGATGAATATAAATATAGAGATAAACATGTAGAGATGTATGCATGTAAACAAAGTATGACTACTGCCACGACCAAAAACTATAATAGGTCGCGATGGCGTCCAACGCCATCGTTTGGCGAGCCCACACGTGAACCTCCAATTTAATTATCCCTTTTTAACTTTAAAAAAAATAGAAGTTTTCTTTTAAAACACCGAAACTTATTTCTCAAAAGTATCAAGCATGATAAATATATAAAACATAGTGATAGTAATAATAAGTACCACAGTACATAAATGCTAGAAGCCCCCAAAACTCGGTGCCACAAGTGTATGAGCAATCTAGAGATTTATACAAAACTAATACAACTATTGTCTGAAGTATAATAGACAGAAATAATAAACAAAGTAGAGGGAGGCTCCGCTGCTGCAGATCGAAGCAAGGCAAGCAGCTCACCACTAAGTCTCTGTGGAAATGCAGCTACGCGCCCGTATGACCATTGATAGTACATGTCTCAGTACCTGAACATTCAGTACAAAAGTATAGTGTGAGTACGTAAAATAATTCGTACCCAGTAAGTATCTAGTCTAACCTCGAAGAAGTAGTGACGAGGGGTCGACTTGACACTTACTAGTGGTCAAAGAGTAATAGAAATACATAAAATAGGCATGGAGGATGTACAACAAGTAGCAACGAAACATACATTTATAGTAATTCACAACATGAGTTTATACCAAATCACTAAACATGTCATAACCGGCCTTGAAGGTGCTAACTCAACTATTACCGAACCAAATCCAGTCTCAAGTATTAAGCATGAATCTGCAGAGCCGAACAGCCCGATCCCATATTAATAGTGATACTCATTACTACCAAGGCAAAAAGGCCTGATCCGTAATTTAAAACATTGCAGAGGCGAATGACCCAATCCCATAAGAGTAGAGAAAATTACCTCGCTCGCGAAAATACATGCGAGTCGAGAAGACACGAATCCATAATTCATAAAATATTTCCCAATTTTCCAAAGTAAGAGGCTAAATCAGTATCTTTATTCAAATCCTCAATCTCAGTCATAATTAAGGAAATCAATACACATGATAAATACAAATAGCACAGCTAAGGCATGATGTGAATCTAAGTCTACCCGGATATAATATGAATATAGCTATGTACGGACTCTCGTCACCTTATGCGTACATAGCTCCACACAATGAGTATCACACAACATTTAATACACCTAAGGGGATAAATTTCTTCTTACAAGGTTAGGCAAGAGACTTACCTCGCACCCAAGCCCTCAATCCGGCTCTTTAACCTCACTAAAACTCCTCAAATAACGCCAAGCAACTTGACACCAGTGATGTTGATGAAAATCCCCCATAAAATGCTCTCAAATTTACCCAAGACCAAGTGAAAATGAGATAAAAGAGACTAAGTCCCATAATAAATTCAAGTCTTCTCAGTGATTCCTTCTTCGTGATCGCGAAGGCCAATTCTCGCCACTGCCAAAAATCCTTTTCGTGTTCGCGAGCTGGAGTCGCGTTGGGGATGAATCACTATCCAACCTTCCACGTTCCTGATCCCTAGGTCACATTCACGTAGGCCAAAAGCCTCCTTGCCCAGCTGCTTTATTTCCCATACGCGATCGTGGATGGGACTCCGCATTTGTGAAACACTGCCAGGTCCACCTTTGTGATCGCGGACCCTTCTTCGCGTTAACAAAGAGCAATCATCTGCCCCTCCAAATACCCTTCTTTGCATCGCGGGATTATCTTCGCGATCGCGAAGCACACCAGCAGTTTTCAGCCTAGTTCAAACATGTTCCGGGTGGTCTGAAACACACCTGAGCCACCCAGGACCCTATCCAAATGCACCAACAAGTCCATAAACATATTACGGACTTAATAGAAACCTCGGAACACATAAAACAACACCAAAATCAAGAATCGCGCCTCAAAACCTCATTAATCAACTTCTAAGTTTCAAACTAATTTCATCCAACTTCGAACGCGTCAAAACATACTTAGACAACTCGGAATGATGCCAAATTTTACGCATAAGTCATAAATCATAATACGAACCTATTCTAATATTCAGAATTCCAAACAGACATTGATAACATCAAAATCCACATCAAGTAAAACTTAAAAAATTCTAAAACCTTCAAAATGCTAACTTTCAATAATAAGCGCCGAAATTCTCCCGGCCTACCCGAAACTCAATTTGAACATATTCCCAAGTACAAAATCATCATACAAACCTAATGGAGCCTTCAAATATCAATACCGAGGTTATCTACTAAAAGTGTTGACTCAGGGTAAACTTAGCCACCTTAGGCCACTATTATGGAACTAAGTGTTCCGAATTCAACCCGAACACTTCCAAAGCCAAACCAACCATCCCCGCAAGTTATAAAATAGTAAAAAACACATATGGGAAGTCTTAAAAAGGGAAATGGGGATTTATAAAGCAAAAAAGGACATGTCGAATCGTTACATCCTCCACCTCTTAAACAAATGTTCATCTTCATACGGGTCTAGAATCATACTTGGAGTGCTGAATAAGTGTGGATATTTGCTCTATATGTCCTCCTCGGCCTCCCAATTCGTCTCCTTGATTGGATGAACCCTTTACTGGACGTTCACTGCAGAAATCTTCTTAGACCTCAACTGGCGAACCTGCTTGTAAACAATGGCAACTAGCTCCTCCTCGTAGCCCAAGCTCTCATCCTGCTGAAATGTGTCATAATCTAACACATGCGGCCTGTCGGCATGGTACTTCCGGAGCATAGACACATTGAAGATCCGTTGAACTCCCGATAGACTGGGAGGCAAGCAAGCTCATAAGCAACCTCCCCAACTCGCTTTAACACCTCAAATGGGCCAATAAACCTCATACTCAACTTGCCTTTCTTTCCGAACCTCATGATACCCTTCATTGGCGAGACCTTCAAGAGAACTTTCTCGCCCACCATAAATGATAAATCACACGCTTTCTGATATGTGTAGCTCTTCTGTCCGGACTGTGCTATGTGAAGTCACTCCTAAATAAACTTTACCTTATCCAAGGCATCCTTTACCAAGTAAGTACCATATAACCTAGCCTCGTTGGGCTCAAACCAACCGATGGGGGGACGACATCACGGACCATATAAAGCCTCTAATAGAGCCATCTAAATGTTAGAATGATTACTGTTGTTATAAGCAAACTCAGCCAAGGGTAAGAATCTATCCCCCTACCCTCCGAAGTCAATAAAACATTCTCTAATCATATCCTCTAGAATCTGAACCGTCCACTCTGACTGCCTGTTGGCCTGTGAATGAAAAGTTGTGCTGAGCTCTAACCGCTTACCTAACTAACTCTGTACTGCTCTCCAGAAGTGTGAAGTAAACTAAGGGACTCTATCTAAAATGATAGAAATAGGTACACCATGCAGTCGGACAATCTCCCGAATATAAATCTGGGCCAACCTCTCCGAAGAGTACGTAGTCACCACCAGAATAAAGTTTGCGGACCTGCTCAGTGTGTCGACAATGACCCAAATAGAATCGAACTTCCTCAACGTCCACGACAACCCAACTATAAAATCCATTGTGATGTGCTCTCACTTCCACTCCGGTATAACCATCTGCTGAAGTAGGCCGTCTGGCCTCTGGTGCTCATACTTGACCTGTAGGCAATTTAGACATCTCGCCGCATACGATGTCCTTCTTCATCCGATGCCACCAGTAATGCTCCCTCAGGTCACATTACATCTTTGTAGCACCTGAATGAATAGAATACTGCGAACTATGTGCCTCTTCTAAATTTGTCTCCCCTAGACCATCAATATTAGGAACATATAAGCAACCCTAGAGTCGCAAAACACCATCATCACTGATAGTAACCTTCTTGGCATCACCCCGTAGCATCGTCTTCCTAAGGACCAGCAAGTGTGGATCATCATACTGGTGATCCTTAATCCGCTTGAATAAAGAAGACTGAGCCACAACACATGCAAGAACTCGGTTGGGCTCTAAAATATCCAACCTCACAAGTCTATTAGCTAAGGACTGAATGTCCAAGGCCAATGGCCTCTCCTCTACTGAAATGAATGCCAAACTAACCATACTCTCAGCCTTTCTCCTCAGGGCATCCGCAACCACATTCATCTTGCCCGGATGATAAAGGATAATGATATCGTAATCCTTCAATAACTCAAGCCATTTGCGCTATCTCAAATTAAAATCCATATGCCTAAACAAATGCTACAAATTGCGATAATCATTGTAAACCTCACAGAACACCCCATAAAGAGAATGTTTCCAGATCTTGAGAGCATGAACTATCGCGGCAAACTTCAAATCATGTATGGGGTAATTCTTCTTGTGAGGCTTCAATTGTTATGAAGCATATTCAATAACTCGCCCCTCCTACATCAATACATAACCCAAGCCAACGTGTGAAGCATCACAATACATAGTATACATCCCTGGACCGGAGGGCAACACTAACACCAGCGTTATAGTCAAAGCGGTCTTGAGCTTCTGAAAAATTTCCTTGCAATCATCGGACAATCTGAACGGAGCACCCTTATGGGTTAATCTATTCAAAAGTGTTGCAATAGACGATAAGCCCTCCATAAACCGATGATAATAACTTGCTAACCCCAAGGAACTCTTGATCTCGATCACTGTGGTAGGACAAGGCCAACTCTGAACTGCCTCGACCTTCCTAGGATCCACCTTAATACCCTCACCTGATACACCATGCCCCAAGAAAGCAACGGAGTCTAACCAGAACTCGCACGTGGAGAATTTAGTATGTAGCTTCTGTTCCCGCAATGTCTGAAGCACTAACCTTGAATGTTACTCGTGCTCCTTTATACTATGCGAGTAGATCAATATGTCATCAATGAAGACAATGACAAATGAGTCAAGATATGTCCTGAACACCTGATTCATCAAATCCATAAATGCCATCAAGGCGTTAGTCAAGTCGAAGGACATCAGTTAAAACTCGTAGTGCCCATACCTAGTCCAAAAAGCCGTCTTCAAAACATTTGAAGCACGAATCTTCAGCTGATGATACCCAGATCTCAAGGAGATCTTAGAGAACACCCTGACACATTGGAACTGGTCAAACATTATCAATACGTGGAAGTAGGTACTTATTTTTTTATGGTGACTTTGTTCAACGGGTGGTAATCAATGCACATCTGCATACTCTTATCCTTCTTCTTCACAAATAACAGTGGTGTGTTCGAAACACTTGCCTGATAACCCCTTCTCAAGCAACTATTGAAGCTACTCCTTTAACTCCCTCAACCCTTTTTAGCCATGCGGTAAGTTGAAGTAGAGATAGGCTGGGTGGCTGGCACCAAATCAACACAGACGAACCCCTCTACATTAATCAAGGCAACTCAGGCATCGCCAAGGTAACAGTCTTGGCATGGGAATAAAAAATGGCACCTCAAAATCAACTATCTCGAGTAATAGAAGATCCACTCTAGTCTCAAAACCACAGAAAGTCACCACATAGGACTGGTAGACGCGATCCACAATAACAGAATCACCCACTAGCATGGACACATATATAAGAACACCCAAGGACTCGCGAGATACATCTAGATATGGAGAAAATAGAGAATAAACATAGGAATAAGTAGACCATGGATCAAATAATACGGAGGCATCCCTATCGCAGACAGAAATAGTACCTATGATCACTGCATCAGAGCCAGATGCCTCTGGCCTGGCTTGGGAAAGTATTAAATCTAGCCAAAGCACCACTTGACCAGCATCCACCTCTAGGGAAACCCTTACCCACCTGCCCTCTGCCTCTAGCCGGCCGGCCGGTGTGGTAGTTGGTGCAGTAATCATGGGCAGATGATCCAGCTGCATGGATTTTCCCCGAACATAAAACCTCTTCACGTGGCCAAACTCCCCGCACTCAAAACAACCCTTGGGAGTAGTGGACTGCTGACCTGAAGTCTGACCCTGATGGTCCTAATACCCACTGGAGGAGCCCTGAATAGTCAGCAGATGGTAAGTACTCTCTGGAAAACCACTGAAGTAGGGTTGTGCTAGAGCACTCTAAATAGGTGATGGTGCTGAATGCATGGGCCTGCTAGGCTGGCCCCTAACAAACTGACCTCTGGCCCCAGGTGGGGTACAACTGAACCCACCAAACTGTCGGGGTCAGTTATCCCTCGGCGCAAACTCTCTATTGCAGTTGCAGATATGCTCAATCCTCCGAGCTATATCCACAACCTGATGAAAGGGAGTCCCCATCTTTGCCTCACGAGCCATAGAAACCTAGTTCTTAGGGTACAGATCAGCAATGAACCTCCGCACCCTCTTTGTGTCTATGGGGAGTATGATAGTTGCATGTTGGGACAAGTCAATGAATCTCGCCTCGTAGTCAGTCACAAACATATGACCCTGACAGAGTCACTCAAACTGACCCCATATCTCCTCTCTCTCTAAAGGTGGTATGTACTTCTCCAAGAACAGATGTGTGAATTGATCCCAAGTCAAGGGAGGTGAACCTGTTGGCTTGCTAAGAAGGTAAGCCTCCCGCCATCTGCGGCCCTTGCCCTCAAGATGAAAGGTGGTGAAGCCCACCCCGTTGGACTCCAATATCCCCATGTTATGTAGCTTATCCTTCCACCGATCAATGAAATACTGTATGTTCTCTGACCACTCACCCCCTAACGTTAGGGGGCGTAGCCTAGTCCATCTGTCCAACCACTTCTACTTCTCAACAGTCGCGACTGGCACAGGCTCTGGCATAGCCACTTCAACTGGCTGGACCCTATCCATAGGTAGTGCACATGGGGTCTAATAAATGGCAGCAACGTGCCCTGGAACCTGAGAGGTAGGGGTCTATGCTCCCCTCTCCCGCCTAGGATGTGGCTGGGTCCGTTGGAAATAAATCAGTCTGTGTCATAGAGTCCATGAACCGCAATATACGGCCCATGACCTCCTGAAATCCCGCAGTCATGAAATCTACTAGGGCTGACTCAGTTGTAGGAACCTCATCATGTTCCTCAATAATAGGATCCTCCACTGGATCCACTAGAGGTACAACAAAATCAACTCTGGGATGCCCTCGTCCTCTAACAGGAGTTAGAGCCCTCCCTGACCTCGACCTCTAGCAATGGGGGAAGCATCTCCTCTACCGCCTAGTACATCTACTATGAGCGTTCTCACAAATACAAAGATACTCACCACAATATCAAATGCATGATAGGATATGAAGAAAGAGAGATTTCCTAACACCTTATAGCCTCTCAAATATAAGTACGGACGTTTCTGCACCAATCCGTAAGACTCTACTAGGCATCATCATGACTCGTGAAACCTATGTGAACCTAAAGCTCTGATACCAAGCTGTAAAGACCCAAAACCTATAATAGGTCGCGATGGCGCCTCACGCCACCATTAGGCAAGCCCACACGTGAACCTCCAATTTAATTATCCCTTTTTAACTTTAACAAAACAGAAGTTACCTTTTACAGCACCGAATTAGGTAAGATCTCATGCAACCATACAAACTTCTTTCTCAAAAATATCAAGCAAGAAAAATACATAAACCATATTCATGGTAATAATAACTACCACGGAACATAAATGCTAGAAGCCTACAAAACCTAGTGCCACAAGTGCATGAGCAATCTAAAGATTTATACAAAACTAATACAACTACTATATAAAGTATAATAGACAAAAATAGTAAACAAGGTAGAGGGAGACTCTGGTGCTGCAGATCGAAGCAAGGCAAGCAGCTCACCCCCAAGTCTCTGTGGAAGTGCGGCTATGCGCCCATGTGACCAGTGGTAGTAACTGTCTCAGTACCTCCACATTAAATGCAGAAGTGTAGTGTGAGTATGTAAAACAACGTGTACCTAGTAAGTATCTAGTCTAACCTCAAAGAAGTGGTGACGAAGAGTCGACTTGACACTTACTAGTGGTCAAACAATAATAGAAATACATAAAGTAGACATGGAGGATGTACAATAAGTAGCAAAAAATAGATAAAAACATTTATAGTAATTCCCTACATGAGTCTATATTAAATTACTAAACATGTCATAACTTGACTTGAAGGCACTAACTCAACTACTATCGAACCAAATTCAGTCTCAAGTATTATGACACGAATATATTGAGGCGAACGGCCCGATCCCATAGGAATAGTGATACTCAATACTGCCGATGTTAACGGTCCGATCCCATAAGAATAGTGTTACCGTACTGCCGAGGCGAATGACCTGATCCCATATGAGCAATTTAAAACACTGTCGAGGTGAATGGCTTAATCCCATGAGTAGAGAAATTTACCTCGCTCATGAAATTACATGCGAGTCGAGAAGACACGGATCCATAGTTCATCAAATATTTCCCAATTTTCGAAAGTACTAGGCTAATTCAGTATCTTTATTCTAATCCTCAATCTCAGTCATAATCAAGGAAATCAATACATATGATAAATCCAAATAGCACAACTAAGGCAATGTGAATCTAAGTCTACTCGATCATAACATGAATATAGCTATATACGGACTCTCATCACCTCGTGCGTACATAGCTCCCCACAACAAGTAGCAAACAATAGTTAATACACCTAAAGGGATTTCCCTTTTACAAGGTTAGTCAAGAGACCTACCTCGCTCCCAAGTCCTCAATCCGGCTCTATAACCTCACTAGAACTTTTCAAATGATGCCGAGTAAACCGAAACTCGTGATGTTGATAAAATCCCCCATAAAATTCTCTCAAATTCACCCAAGAACAAGTGAAAAATGAGAGAAATGATACTAAGTCCCGTAATAAATTCAATTCTGCCAAGTGATTCCTTCTCCGCGATCTCGAAAAATGTCTTGCGATCATGAAGTCCAATTCCTGCCACTGCCAAAAATCCTCTTCACGTTTGTGACCTGGAGGTCGTGTTCATGATGAATCACTTCCCAACCTTCCCCGTTCGTGATCCCCAGGTCGCGTTCACGTAGACCAAAGGCCTCCTTGCCTAGCTACTCCATTTCCCCCACACGATCGTGGATGGGCTTCTACGTTCGTGAAGTACTGCCAGTTCCACCTTCGCGATCGCGGACCCTTCTTCGCGTTCGCAAAGGGCAATTAGATTCCTCTCCAAATCACCTTCTTCGCGATCGCGAAGCACACTAGCAGTTTTTAGCCTAGTTCAAATATGCTCTGGGTGGTCCAAAACACACCTGAGCCACCTGGGACCCATTCCAAATGCACCAATAAGTCCATAAACATATAGCGGATTTACTCGAAGCCTTAGAATACATAAAACAACACTTAAATCAAGATCACGCCTCAAAACCTCATTAATCAACTTCTAAGATTCAAATTAATTTCATCCAACTTCGAATGCGTCGAAACATACTTAGACAACTCAAAATGATGGCAAATTTTATGCACAAGTCATAATCACAATATGAACCTATTCCAAGGTTTGGAATCCCAAATGGACATCGATAACACCAAAATCCACATCAAGCCAAACTTAAGAAATTCTAAAACCATCAAAATGCCAATTTTCAACAATAAGCGTCGAAATGCTCCCGGCCCACTCAAAACTCAATCCGAATATATGTCCAAGTCCAAAAATCAACATATGAACCTATCAGAACCTTCAAAACTTGATTCCGATGTCATGTACTAAAAGTATTGTCTCAAGTCTAACTTGGCCATCTTAGGCCACTATTATGGAACTAAATATTCCGAATTCAACCCAAACCCTTTCAAAGACAAATCAACTATTCCTGTAAGTCATAAAATAGTAAAACCACAAAGTCTTAAATAGGGAAACGAGAATCTATAAAGCAAAACGACCAGTCGGATCGTTACAACTACCGCTATAATACGTTATCCAACATACAAAATATTTCATCATAATTATAAACAAGTCAAAACCCTAGACATTATTTATAGCATGAATAAGGATACTCGAGTAGTCATACAAAAAGATATGGCATGTTACAAGTAGAACATATATCAAAATAAGACATATAGAAGCCTAAAATCTACCTCAAATATGGTATAACTTTGGTATCCGTATATATGCTCGTCACCTCGCATATACGTTACACCTAAACACGTAGCATGTAGCACATAAGTCCATTTTAGGAATGATTTCCTTAGTCAAGGTAGTTAGGATACTTACCTTCTCTAGATTAGGCTTCAACCTTTCAAATGCCTTTTCCTCTATCCTCGACCTCCAAATGATCAAAATCTAGGTGAAAAATACTCAACGACGTCAAATAAAGCTATAAAAATAAACTCCAAATGATAAAGATTTGATCTTTAATAAAATCTCAAAAGTAAATAAAATTCAATCTCATGCCCACATGGTCAAAACCCAAGAGCAAAGTCGAATTTCGTGATCCATAACCTCACGAGTCCAAATATATAATTAATTTTTAAATTCGAGTCCTAATTGATGTTCAAACCCTCAAAATATACTTTCTTAATTTTTAAGTGAAAATCCTCTTTTGCACTTTTAGATTCCTTGATTTAAAAGACAAAATCAATAATAGATCCAAGTAATAACTATAGATTTAGATTAGGATTTCTTACCCCAGCTATTTAGATGAAATTTCCTTCATAAATTCTCCCAAATTCGTAATGTGTAGCTCACAAAATGATAAAACAAAGTCTATGCACGAAATTGGACTATTTATGCAAAACTACAAAATTGATCTGGTGCCACAATGAGTGCACCACCATCATTTGCGACAGTAGGTGTAGTATGCCTACTACCGTGCTTGGCCTATGTGCGAGAGTAGGTGCGCCACACTTGTTATTCTCTGCTACAATTTTTCTACAATCTCGTTTCAAACTCCCTAGAACACCCTAAGAACTCACCCGAGCCCCTTAACATCCCTTCAAACCACCCCGACTAGTTCATATACCTTACACAAACTTTCCCAAGGGCTCAAATCATATATGAAAATATCACATCTAAGAATTAAGGTCCAAAACAAATCATGAATTATCCTAAGTTCTTTAAATTTCAATGTTCACAAAATATGTCTCAATCACGCTCGAACCCCTTGGGTGCTCAATCGAACATACATACAAGTCCAAAATATCATACAAACCTATCGGAGCCTTCAAATCACCAATTCAAGCTTGTTAATCCAAAATATTAACTTGGTCAACTCTCTTAAACTTTAAGCCCCTAGTTTAGGATCTAAGTGTTCCAAATTACTCTCGTACTTCTCAGGATCTAAACCAACTATACTTGACAAGTCATAAAACCCTAAATAAATTTACGAGAAGTCTCAAATAGGAAAATGGAATTCAAGAACTCAAAACGATCGGTTGCTTTATTACAAATCTCCCGTGTGTCTTTATTGTCACACTGTTCTTATAAGGTCATTAAACCTAGGATGCTCTGTAATATTGGTAAAGAATTTGAAAGGCCTTGGATACAACTGAATTTTCTGGCAGCATTATAGGAAAAAAGGAGAATGATTTGTGGGTTGAGGAAATTTGCCTCAATATGCCCATATTGTTGTATCCATTGAAAATTTCTCAAGGCTCAATCTATCTTATTATACACTCTATTGTCGGTGTCCTACTTATTATACCAAGTGAAGTATCATTCCCTACATCATAGAGAAGTTAACTAGAGGGTATCAAGCAGTCATTGGAACCCTTGAATTTCTTGTTGAGTCATAGGTAAACAAATTTTATCCTTAGATGTTAAGACATTGTTGAAGTCTCCACACAACAACCAAGGAGTCTGCACTTGAGATTTTTTGTTGAATAAGTTCTCTCCACAGTATGTGCCTTAGCTGGAGTTCATTATTTGCATACACCATTCTAGGACAAACATAGAATGGGTTATCCTCTACTAGGCAATAAATAAATTGCTCTTTGATATTTAGAACCTACACATTTGGGTGGCCTTTCCATAAGACCTGAATCCTACCAGCATTAGGGTAGTTGCAGCATACATTCCATTCCTTTGCTATATTTTGAATAGTTCTCTTAGATATGTTTCTCTTAACTCTTATCTCTATATATCCAAATAGGTCCACTTTATTTCTAAATAGAAAGAACCTCACCTCATTTACTTTTTCTTTAGCTGGAACAAAAATTTTCCAGCCATGTGACTGTCTAGTCCTTCATTTCTTATCAATATGGTGAGCTAATCTGCAATACTTAGCTTTAAGAAAATCAGCCCACAATCTATGACAATCACTAAATCTCTGCCACTTTTTAATAGCCAAATCATTTCTAATATCCTCCATTTATCTCAAGCATGGCCCAACTTACAATGTTAGGAAGCACATATAAGCCCATGAACTCCAATGATATTTTTAATCCACAAAAATCTAGCAAGTTGTCTCTCAATTTGCTTGAAAGTAGTCTTAGGAGGTTCTGTTGCAGCTAGAAAATTCAAAGATTGAGACTACAAGACACGCATGATCAATATGGCTCTCTCCCACATATAATAACTTACCATACCAACATGTTATCCTTCTAATGATTTTGGTGACCAGATCATTGAAAGTAGAGATCTTCTTCCTCCTTATATATAGTGGACATCCTAAGTATTTAATATGAAATTTATCGCATTTGTAACTAGTAATTGCTTTAGTTTTTATGATCTAAGATGCAAAAAAAATAGACAATAGAAAATAGCTCTTTTCATCATTAATCTTTTGGCCAGAGTGTAATAATTCGGCCGGTCGTTTTGTGTATTTAAGTCCCGTTTTTCCTTTTGAAATTCTCGTATGTGTATTTGTTATTATTTAACTTGTGGGTTGGTTGGTTTTGTTCGGGGAGGTTTTGGATTGAATTGGAACACCTAGTTCCTAGTATGGAAGCTTAAGTTGTGAGGATTGACCAAGGTTTGACTTTTATGAAAATGATCCTAGAATGGTATTTTGATGGTTCCAATAGGTTCGTATGGTGATCTTAGACTTAAGCGTCTCCTCGGATTTGAATTCTGAGGTTCCTAGGACAATTTGGCTCTTCTTATCGAAGGTTGATAATTTAAAGGTTTAGAAATTTCACAAGTTTGAATACGGGTTGACTTTGTGGATATCAAATATAGACTTTGGTCTTCGGGACTTGAAATAAGTTCGTTTTGTTACTTGGAACTTGTGTGTAAAGTTTGGTGTCATTCCGAGTTGATTTAGTAGAAATTGGACGCTTGGTAGTGATTTTAGTTGTTCTTGAATTTTATATTTTGCATGATGCATTTCGATGTTTGATTCATGGGTTTATACATTATTTTGGTGTTTTGAGCTCGCGGGCAAATTCATATGAGGTTTCTAGACTTGTGTGGATATTTGGTGTGGATCCCCGAGGGCTCGGGTGAGTTTCGGACGTGTTTCAGAGTGTTACGGGCTTGCCTTAGTTTTCTGGTACTGTCAAACTCGTATTTGCAAAGGTCTGCTCGCACTTGCGGTGGCCTTATCTCATTTGCGAAGCAGGGGCTTCCTGGGGGACCTCACAAATGTGAGGAGTTGGTCGCATTTGTGATAGTTGACTAGGAAGTTGGGACTTCACTTTTGCGAAGTCTTCATCGCATTTGCGATGGGGGATGGGAGCAGTGGAACTTCGCATTTGTGAAGTTCTTGATCGCAATTGCGACATTCTTTGGGTTGGGCAGTCTTCGTATTTGTGATCCATTGGTCGCATTTTCGAACCTTAGGTCACAAATGCGACATCTCCAGCTCGTTTATAGCTGGTTATTTCGGGATTTAGTCTCATTTTATGACATTTTAAGCCTTAGACTTGGTGGGAGTCAGTTTTTGAAGTGGATTTTCACACATAGCTATTGGGTAAGTGATTTTCACTTAGTTTTGATATTATAACTTGATTCCATATAGATTTTAACATAAAAATCATGGAATTTGAAAAGAATATTTGGGAATTTTTTACTATATATTGATAGTCTAGATCTACCCCTCGACTTGGTTTTTGGATTCGTGGGGTTATAGATAGTATAGATCTACCCCTCGACTCAGTTTTTGACCGGACGAGCCAGGGGTTGACTTTTCGACAATTAGGTAAAGATTGGGCCTTTGTTGTTTGGAATTGATTTCTTTAGCATTGTTTGATGTTATTGAGTCATTTCTTGCTAGATTTGAGTCGGACGGAGGTGAATTTTAAAGGAAAAGAATTTTGCAATATTGAATTAGCTTGTTGAGATATGTATCTTGCCTAACCTTGTGTGGGGATACACCCCTAAGATTTGGCCTTAATTTCCTAGTTGTGTTATGTGAAAGGCGACGCATACACGAGCTGACGAGTATGTACACGGGCGTATGTGTGGTTTATGACCGAATTAGGCCTTAGGCTATTTATACGCATTTGGGGTTGTTCTCTATATGAAACATGCTTAATCCCTTTGTGACTACAAGATCATGATCACTAAATTTGATTTTGCCATAGTCATGTTTTATTGTTGAACACTCGTCCGCACTTTTATGTTATTGTCATATGTCCTTGTGCACTTTGTTATTAAGTTGTGAGATTATATCTTGATAAAACTTTAGGTATTGTTGGTTTTGTGATATTGTGACATATGTTCGGTTGCAGCAAAGTGAGCAAAATAAAATGGCCCATGGTCAAGAAGCTGCTCAATTGCACTAAAAGCTTCAAGAGGTGAAGGCTAAGTAGGTCAGGTTACATGATGTTATGATTACTACTCCCAAGCGTGAGTCAGCCTCGGAGGATCAAATAAATAACTTGAAGGCAGAGCTGACCTCCAAAACCGAGGAAGCCAATGTTGCCGAGGAGAAGAGGGATCGACTGGAGGAGAGGCTAAAGAGGTCGATGGACCAAAACCAGCTCCATTCGTCGACGAATGTTGAGCTCGATGCTCACCTCGGTGCCCTGAGATCCAAGAGAGACGACCTCCAGGACAAAATTGAAAAGTTTCAGGAACAGCTCCAGGACTAAGAGGATTCCCTTGTATTTGAGAAGACTATTCAATATACCATATAAGGAGGAAGACCTTGAAGAGGAAAAAGTGGGCATTGCTAATATAGATGATTGCATTGCCTAGGTCCGAGAACTGGAGCTGTCTGCTCGAGAACACCTTGCCCCTCATCCCACTGCAACTGACTCCATGAGTACCATTCTGAGTACTCGAGAACTGAAGGGGAGATTGAAAAATATGAGGATGAAGTCCAAGAACCGGAGGCTGATCCACCTTCCTCCATTAGGAGAGATGCAGATCCCTCCCTTTCTTCGAGCTCCAGCGGCAAT